GCACACAACATCCCAGTGTTTCAGCCCGTGAAAGTCTTCAACAGTTCATAGCCTAATACTTCATTGCACCATTGATGTACTTTGTTTTAATCTAGAGGTGCATATCTTGATTATTTTATCTTCACACAGGAGGTCAAATAATTATGGTAATTATCTCCTCACTGGATGCTTCTGTTTCGCAGAAAGCATGTTCATTTGAACCAAGATGCACATTTCAGAAAATATGTGCTCTTCCTTTCCAAAGTATGTTATGCAATGTGTGGCTGGAATTCCCATGGAGGAAAACCCCTGCTTAGAAAAGTTATTTTGAAATCAAAATACAGGAAACCAGAAAAGACACACGTGACATTAGAGCAAGGTAATGAAATGACAGTTAGTGTTAGGCAGGATAGTAAGAAAATGACATACCTTTCTTAAGTGCTCAGACAAAGAAATTTTGAGATAACTAGAATGGAATGATTGTTTGGAAAGACTGTGGGTTCTGGTCATTTCTGGTAGTTTGTGTGCGTGTGTGTGTGAGAATGTCAGGAGTGACTTGAGAAACTGCAAATAACTTCTGGTGTGAGAGAATTGGCCGGCTGCAAGAACATTGCCCATGGAACACCCAGATGTTTTACCATCTTCTGGGAGCCTTCTCTCATGTCTTTTCATTGGAAGCTGGAGCTGACAGATGGCAGCTCACCCTGCTCCCCGGATTCAAACTGCGGACTTTTAGGTTGGCAGTTCAGCCAGCACAAGGGTTTAACCCATTGCACCACTGGGGACTCAAATATTAGTATAATCATTTTGAATTTGAATTTTTTGCATTTTGCATTTGTTGAAGCTTTATTTTATTTTTTAAAAAACATAACCTTAAACCCTAAAGACTTCCCACCACCGTATGTGTACTCTATATATTTGTATGAGGAAAGTAGTGTCATATATAGGAGAGAGGGATGGAGGGAGAGACAGCAAGCCAGTGTAAAGGACTTTGATTTTGAATCTCTTCTTGGTCTTGGAAATCTACTGGGAGGCCTTGAACAAGATACTTACTCTCAGCCTAAGAGGAAGGCAATGATAAGCATCCATTGAATAAATATTCACAAGAACACTTATAATTGTGTATATTGTAGTCAACTTGAAGGCACATGAAAACAACAAAAGCAACAGTATGGAGATAAAGGAAAACCAACAAACTAAAGAAAAATAGATATGTTATATAAAAACACCTCTCACTTGGATACACATATGCATCTGATTGTATGTATCTGCCTTTGAGTGAAATTTTACCCTAGGTTTTAAGGATCAATTTGTTTCATCTTTCAAATTCTTTTACTTGCTGTATTTTCTGAACATAGCATCTCCATTCAGATACGTTTTGTTGCAAAAGCTGGGTTGTAGTGTTTTATTCCACCACACAAACAAAAAGAAAGCTGCGTGTTGAAGATAGTCCTTCTTTCCACCCTGCCTCGCAGATACAGAAGGGAACTTAGCCCAATCCAGAGCATTTGCTCTTGGCCAAAGAAAAACTGGCAAACGATGTTCTCATTTCGTATGCATAAATCTTCACATGACTGACACAGCGATGGGGGAAATGAACAGAAGGGAGGCGCCTTGCCAGGTTCAGCCAGGGTGGTCCAAAGAATGCCATGCTGAGAATGGCTGCTCCAAAACACATCAGTGTATAACCAATTAGTGCTTGGGCTGCCAATTGCACCATATGCACAGAAGATACAGAAGTCTAGCCAACCTCTTAAGCCAATAGATGACACTCCTTTTGGATTCCATTACCGTTGCCAAGGCACCTAATACTCTCTTGTTAATGAATGTTCGATGTATTTCATTTGTCTCCTTCTGCAAGGATGCTACTGGCTTTTTATGGGCTGTAATTCTTCCATGCCTTGCTTGCTTCTCCACATTATCATTACTAACCATCAGGACAGGCTCTGGAGGATAATGAAATCAAGGCATTTGCCAAGATCACAAGACTGCTGCTCCAAAAAACATCAGTGTCATTGTATAACTGATGAGGGTTGGTGTTGCCAACTTTGACATATGTTTAGAAGTCTAGCCAACTTGAAGAACCTGTCATTGCATCAGAGCTACCATTTTTGTATATCACAGAGCTGAAAGACAGACAACGTAAGCAGCCTGCCCTCCTACTTCCAGGATAGAGTATCATAGGTTGCAATCCAAACTCAGCCACTTAACTCCTGGAGTAATCTTCAACCAATCACTAACTCATATAATTATTTTGAAGACAGAATGGTGATGGGTCAATTGCAATACTAAACTTTGGAGATGTCCTTCTTGAGGGACATGTGATGCTTTCCTCCTACTTCCAGGATAGAGTATCAGGCTGGGGTGACAAACATGGGTTGCACTTGCAATCCAAACTCAGCCACTTAACTCCTGGAGTAATCTTCGACCAATCACTAACACATATAATTATTTTAAAGACACAATGGTGATGGGTCAATTGCAATACTAGACTTTGGAGCTGTCCTTCTTGAGGGACATGTGATGCTTTCCTCCTACTTCCAGGATAGAGTATCAGACTGGGGTGAAAAACATGGGTTGCAATTCAAACTCAGCCACATAACTTCTGGAGTAATCTTTGATCAATCACTACCTCATAGGATTATTTTGAAGACACAATGGTGATGATAGGTCAATTGCAATACTAGATTTTGGAGATGTCCTTTTTGGAGGGACATGTTATACAGTGCAGAATAGGACACTGAAACAGGGTAAAGTAGCCATATGGCAAAATGTGAGTGAAACTGAAGTGGAATGGAAAAAGACAGTTATATCTCAACTACAGGAGGTCTATTGAAACCAATGAGACTTCTAAATTGTGACTAATAGCCCCATTTATTTACCATTGTGACTAATACCAGATTTAGTAGACAGTAGATCTTTACCTAGAATAGTCTAGTAAAACTTTTTTTTAAATTTATTTGGCTATGTGCTCTTTTTGTTTTATTTTCTCCTAAAATTTCCAAAGGAGAGAATGTGTATTTTATATAAAGCAAATAAGCTACTGTGTAGGAGAAGAATTTATCTGCTTCAATAAGGGAAGTTTCTCTGAAACACAAACCCACTGGAGCCATCATTAAACATCATTATCATCTCATTTTCAGTTCAAAAGGGAGCTTGAATTGCTTCTTTTTAATATCTCAATGCTGCAACAAAGACTAATATCTAATCAGGTTTGCAGCTTTATTGCAGGAAAAGAATCTTAAACAAAGTTTCATCTGAAATGCCACTATATTAAAAAGAACAATTTTCCTTCTGTAAATTCCCTTGGGCTTTTGTGTGTGTGTACTCTCCTCTCTATCACACTCACAGTGTGTATACACATGCCTTCAATTTCCTTGGTGACTCTAGGAATTTCATAGGATTTTCATGGAAAAGGGATACTTGGAGGTGATTTTGCCAGTTATTTCCTCTGAAATATAACCTACAGCACCTGGTGGTCTCCTATCCAAGTTCTAACCAGGAATAACCCTGCTTAGCTTTCAATATCAGATATGATCTGGTTCTTTTTGGGCATTATCCTCAGAAAAAGGGTGGCAGAAGGAAGAAAGGACAGTGAAGAAATTCAGCTAGAAATATCTTGCATTTCAAATTCATTCTTCAATTGATAAGCAGCAAGATATTCAGAAAGTAAAAGCCTTACAGAGGAATTTTTCCCTTCCAGAGGCAAATGGAAATGATAAATTGAATGAAACACTCTGTAGCCTACTAGCACACATCCAGTGCCTATCACATGCAGTATCTGCCAATATCAGAGCCATCACATGATGATCCAGCATTTTCTTGACTCTACAGTCTTCTCATTATTGAAGGAGAATCCAATGAAAATGGCTTCACTAGGATGAAGTTTCTGAAATATGAATGGACCTGTCTTCCTTGGTCAGGCAATTCTTTCTTTTTGTAGTTTTGTGGATCAGAAACAGCAAATCAATGAATGCTAATCACTTGCCCATGACACCAAAAGTCATGTAAAGCATACTTGGGAGCCAGGCATGTAGCCGGGGTGGGGTGGGGGGTGTGTGTGGGGGGGCTTGAGGGGCTTAACCCCCCCCCCCCGAAATTCTCATGGTGGTTCGTGAAAAGGCCTTACTGGTGCATTATTTAAACTGTTATGTTTATTCATATCATGATCTGATCACCATACTCAATATATCCCATATGCATGGGGGTATTGGGGTAATGATACAAAAGGTTTGCTAGGCTAGACCCTCTTTCACTCAGACTCAGCCCCCCCAAAACTGAGCCCCCCGAAACCACCCCCCCCTGAAAAAAAACTCAGCCCCCCCCCCCTGAATCGAAATCCTGGCTATGGGCCTGTTGGGAGCTACAAACTAGATCTTTGCTATCCCCGCATTTCTGTAAAACTTTATGATTTTTATAAAGGGATTGAAAGAACAGTAACAATTGCTTGTTTCCAGGGGTCTACTCATACTACAAAACTGCAGAACTATTATTCCACTTCAATCGTTGTGATTCTGTTCTATGGATTCTTGAAACTGGTAATGTGGTGAGACACTAGGGCACTCTTGCTGATCATTCTGAATCCACCTTCCTAAACTACAAAGCACAGGAGAAGAAAAATCACTCCAGATTAGCTTAACTCTCAAGAGAAGTAGCACTGGAAACAAAATGTAGGCCTATGATTCTTTATCCAATATAGGATAGTTGTTGCATTATTATGTGGAAAAGCCAGCGAAATGACATTGAGACCAATGTGCACGGGACCAATACAGAACAAGGTCAATGTGCATCAGTCCCATTGTACATGAGAACACCACCTAGGGAGTGCTAATGGGCATTGGGACACTCTTTCCAGAGTCTTGTTATGCATCTTTACCATACACTAGCAGGGTTTCTACATGCTTCTGCTACATATTTAAGTGTCAAGTTGTCTAGTGTACACCACAATGGATCATTTCAGCAAACATTTTTTTTGGCAGAAAACCAATCAAGATACTTCTTTCTTTCTTCTATTCACACAGGAACTGGTGTGCCTATGTTCACACAAGACTCCAGCCCACCATCGTAGTTGACAATATACAAAGCTATGCATCAGGCAGATCCAACCCATGCAACTGGATAACAGGACCCTGTGGATCAAGGTAATGTGCTTTAGATTGCATAGCTGTAATGTTAATGATGGGCACTTAAATGAATGAAACAGAGGGTGTAGAAAGCCCTATAATGTCCCGAAAAGTCTGAATCCTCCTCCAATATCCTTTCATTGTTTTATAAATTGCAATGTCACTCCTTAATTTATTGGGGGAGAGGAACTGTATAGATACCATGAAGTGGGACAGGGGAAGTATGCAGATACCATTGTCATACCAAAAGATCATTAAGGAAGTGGTCTGCAAGCACTTACAAACAAATGCTATCAGTAAGGCCTTTGACAAGGTACCCCATTGTCAAACTGGCAAACAAACTAGGCAAATGTGGGCTAGATAAAACTATGGTTAGGTGAATCTATAATAAGTTAAGCCAACGAATTCAGAGGGTGCTCACCAATGCTTCCTCTTCATCCTGGAAAGAAGTGACGGGTGGAGTGCCATAAGCAGGGTTCTGTCCTGGGCCTGGTTCTGTTCAACAATTTTATTAATAGCTTAGATGAAGAGTTAGAAGGCACGGTCATCAAGTTTGCAAATGACACCAAATTGAGGGGGATAGCCAATACTCCAGAAGACAGGAGCGGAATGCAAAATGATTGTAACAGATTAGATTTAAGGGAGATGGGCCAAAACTAACAAAATGAAGTTTAACAGGGACAAATGCAAGATACTCATTTAGGCAGAAAAAATGAAATGCAAAGACACAGAATGGGGGATGCCTGGCTCTATAGCAGGACATGTGAAAAAGATCTTGGAGTCCTCATGGACAACAAGTTAAGCATGAGCCAACAATGTGATGTGGCAGCTTAAAAAGCCAATGGGATTTTGGCCAGCATAAATAGGAATCTAGTGTCTAGATCCAGGGAAGTGATGCTATCCTTCTATTCTGCCTTGGTCAGACCACACCTAGAATACTGTGTCCAATTCCGAGCAGCACAATTTAAGGGAGATGTGGACAAGCTGGAAGGTGTCCAGAGGAGAGCGACTACAATGATCAAGGGTCTGGAGAACAAGCCCTATGAGGAGTGGCTTAAAGAGCAGGGCATGTTTAGCCTAAAGAAGGGAAGACTGAGAGACGTGATGAGGACCATGTATAAATATGTCAGGGGAAGTTACAGGGAGGAGGGAGCAGACTTGTTTTCTGCTACCCTGGAGACTAGGATAAGGAACAATGATTTCAAACTACAGGAAAGGAGATTCCACCTGAACATTAGAGAGAACTTTCTAACTGTGAGAGCTGTTCAGCAGTGGAACTCTCTGCCCAAACTGTGGTGAAGGCTCCTCCTTTAGAGGCTTTTTAGCAGAGACTGGATAGCCATCCGTTGGGGCTGCTTTGAATGTGATTTTCCTGCTTCATAGCAGGGGGTTGGACTGGATGGTCCGCAAGGTCTCTTCCAGCTCTATGATTCTATGATTCTGTGTGAGCAGCTGGCAACTTCCCTAGCACCACTATTCTTGCATAGAAGGGTACCTATAAAAAGGAAAAAGAAATATATTGACAAATATATTCACCTGATGAACCAGCCTGGACACAGCATATTATTTGAGAACACAGAAATGCTGGACCACACCAACAACCACCATGTCAGACTACACAGAGAAGCCATTGAAATCCACAAGCATGTGGACAATTTCAACAGAAAGGAAGAGACCATGAAAATGAACAAAATCTGGCTACCAGTATTAAAAAACTCTAAAATTATAACAGCTAAACAACAGAGAGGAAAAAACCAGGCACAGATTAACACCTCCCAGCAACAGATTTTCCCAGGTTCAGGCAGGCCTTCAAATGCTAATGAAGGTGATCAGCTAAACATTCACACCTAATTGCAGCAGGGAAGAGCTCCTTGCCCCACCCCAGCCATTCCACAGATATATAAACCCATTGTCCTAATTCCAACAGACCTCTACCTCTGAGGATGCTTGCCATAGATGCAGGCGAAACGTCAGGAGAAATTCCTCTAGAACATGGCTCTATAGCCCGAAAAAACCCACAAGAACCTATATTGACATACTTGTGGTCATGGCCAAACAAATAAATCCTCTGACTGCTATGCACAACTAGTGATGCCAAGGACATATGCAGCCAGTTAAGCTCAGATGCAATGTGAATCAGGTACCACTTCCGTGAGAAATTCTTACTTAGCTTAGAAATGTAATTCTGGTTTAGGGATTGAAGCAATGGTTGCTTTCTTTTTTGTGACAAGGATATAACAACAGTACATTTCTTTTTTAAAAAATTCAACAAGTTGGCACACAGCTTTTTAAATGGTATAGTGAGCAACAGAGACACTTTAAAGGTTACCTTTAAATGAAATTTTAACATTTACAATTTATAAATGAATTTTGAGAAATGGTTTTCAAGTTTAACACTATTTTTATCAATTCTTAGGGTGTTTTTTTAATTAAAAAACATGAATGAAACAAGTAACTGAATGAATACTACAGTGGGCCCTTGGTCTCCATGAGAGTTTGGTTCTGGGACCTCTAATGGATACCAGTTGGCCTTCTGTGTCCATGGACTCTGTATCCTAAAGTCAATCATTCTCTGTTTAAAAATATTTCTAAAGGCAAGCCTGTTTATTGTTATTTCATATAAGGGACACAATTTTACTAGGGCCTTGTATATAATGCATCTTTAGCATCTCTGTGTGTAAAGATAAAGGTAAAGATTTCCCCCTGACATTAAGCCTAGTCATGTCCGACTCTAGGGGTTGGTGCTCATCTCAATTTCTAAGCTGAAGAGCCAGTGTTGTCCATAGACACCTCCAAGGTCATGAGGCTGGCATGACTGCATGGAGCACCATTACCTTCCTGCTGAAGTGGTACCTATTGATCTACTCACATTTGCATGTTTTCAAACTGCTAGGTTGGCAGAAGCTGGGGCCAACAGTGGGAGCTCACCCCGCTCCCTGGATTTGAACTGCCAGTATTTTAGTCAGCAAGTTAAGCAGCTCAGTGGTTTAACCCACTGCATCACCAGGGGCTCTGTGTGTAAGTGCCCTGAAACCAAACTTCAGTGAATACCAAGGCCCATTATATATCCATCTCTTTCTCCTCCTCTTTCTCTCTCTGTCCATATTTCCACATACACACACACACATTTTGAGAAAGATATGCATTTAAAACTACTTTTTTGTTCCATACTTAGATGGGAATTTTCATACGTGTGAGAATGACATGTCATGGGAATAAAAGTATTTGTCCATCTTTACTAATGTGTTGGTGTGCAGGAGCTTTATGATTTCAAAGGTAGAAATTGTTTAATCTTGTTTCATGATTATCTGAAGCACATAAACTTTGAGTCATTTAATACATGTCCAAATTTCGAGGGATAAATATTGCTATCTTCACTTTAAATTCTATAGTAGCATGGTCAGATTTTTCAGACATCCAGACCTGTTAATTCTGTTTGCTATTTTCCACTAGGTGGCATGTTTGCATACCTATAAGGCATAGTCCTTCTCCTCTTGTAAAACTCAAAACCTTTTCAATGTCTTTCTCTTTTGCTCTGGGTGAGATTAAGGGAGGAAATTTGATTCCAGAGCCAATTGGTATTTGAAATGTGCAAAGATTAGTTTCCTGGAACTTCTTCCTCTATAAGTCAGGCTAGGTTGCAGTGTTAAGGTTAGCTACAATTTTAATTAAAAGAGAGTTTTGAGTACAATAGATCACCAAACTCTGCAGCATTTTGTGCAATGTATTGTTACAGAACTGAATATCTGTTAAAGGTTTTTAAACAGCAACAAAGAAAGACCGGAAATGTATTGTTGAAAGCTTTCACAGCCAGAATCACTGAGTTCTTGTGAGTTTTTCGGGCTGTATGCCCATGTTCCAGAAGCATTCTCTCCTGACATTTCACTTGCATCTATGGTAGGCATCCTCAGAGGTTGTGAGGTCAGAACCTCTAGGATGCCTGCCACAGATGCAGGCAAAACATCAGGAGAGAATGCTTCTGGAACATGGCCATACAGCCCGGAAACAAGGCCTGAAATATTTTTCTGGTGAACGACCTCAAAGGTAGCATGCTATTTTTGCTCATTCAATAGTATACTGTAACAATTTTGTTTCAGAACAAGGATAGTGACATCAAGGTAAACACTGAATTCATTGAGTTATTTTGTGCTCCAGAAGTATCTCAAAACAGGAAAAAATATAATCCACATCATATTCTTATACAGTTGGCACTTGATATTTGCAGCTTTAGCTTTTTCCTATTTGATTATTTGTGGATTTGATTAATATGATCTCTCCAGGTATCTCTCTAATCTTCCACTGTGACTATGTTCAACCTCTGAAAGTCACACTAAAGGATCTAGAGATTTTTTCATTTTTTCCCAACTATTATGAAAGTTGAGGACTTACTGTATATTTTGCATCATGATTTCACTTTACTTTGATGTGAATATTTTGAATTCTTTAAAATATTGGGTCAAATTCTTGATTATGTATTTACTTACAGTTAGCTACATAGCAGAGGAATTAAGAAACTTGGTTAGAGAACTGTGAAGATACATAATGGAATATTGGCAAAATATCCCAGTGCACATTGGAGCTCCCTACTTGGTGTTTTGATATACAATTGGTCCTGTCGTGTATTGGTCCAAATGTGCATCAGTAACTTTGCTTTGTCCCCTATGTAGTAATGTCAAAGAAATGCTTTACCAGATACCAACATAATTAAACTGTTTAATTTTAATTCCCACAGATGTAAATTTCTGACAAGGTTTGGGACACTGGCCAGAATTCAGTCTCATGACCAAAGTGTAGAATGTGGAAACATTGCTTTTTCTTTTCTTTTGTACTGCAACTCCCAGATACTTCCTCACTGGATAGGCAATAAACAGATAGACTGAATGATTTGGGGAACTGTTGCTTAAAGGATAACATTTCAAGACTCCCTTCCTCTTAACCTCACACTATATACAGCTCTGGTCCAATTACACTCCAGAATCAGTACTCGGAAAGCCAATAAATGCATAGGACCTGATTGTACAAACCATTTTAAACACCTCTGTCAAACGTGTAACTTTTGTACAAAATATGCATTCACTGTTATTGCTTCACTGTGGCTGCATCTACACTGTAGAATTAGTGCAGTTTGATGCTACTTTTATTGACATGGCTCAAGGCAAAGAAGTCTAACAACCTTGCAATACTTCAACTCCTGGGATTCCATAGCCTTGAGCCATGTTAGTTAAAATGGTATCAATCTGCATAATTCTACAGTGTAGATGCAACCTGTGACATCCAGAGCCATCTTGTGCAGACATCATTAATAAGAAATAAGACTAGAAAGTCACAAGCTGTTGAAATCTATGTTGACAACTGAACGTCTCTCACTCTGCCAGCCGAATAAAGTTTCTGGAAAGGTTTGTGTAAAAGCTTTGAGTGGATGTGAATATTCTGAAATCAAGTTTCAAGCTCTTCATGACACACATTTACAGTTATTCATAGTCATGCTCAATCTAGAAGGATGATTCAAGCTACTTAAAAATAAATATTTACCCAGAGCAATAAACTGTCATATACTCTACTGCTGCTATCTAAAAATTTAAATAGAAACCTCAACTGCAAAGTCTCCAATTAATAAGATGTTTTATATGATTTGTTTTTCAAATTTAAGAATCATTTCCCTTTGTGAGTTTTTGATGAGATTTTTCTTTAATAGGAAATGAACATCAACCTTTTCCTAGAACACTTCTCAGAGCGTTCTTGTTTCTCTTGGAACCAGCTGATTGTTCTTTTTGTGTTTTTGGAAAGGAGGGGGATATAATCCCTTTTACTACCTGGGGCAAAGCAGCCTCAGAAAACCTCACCTTAGAGTTACCATAAGTCAGAAGGGACTCGAAGGCATGTGACAACAATCTATATAAATAAAAATGTAATGTTCGTTTGTGGTATTCACATAACTCAAAAACCACTGGACGAATTGACACCAAATTTGAACACAAGACACCTAACAACCCAATGTATGTCCTTCACTAAAAAAATTGATTTTGTCATTTGGGAGTTGTAGTTGCTGGGATTTATAGTTCACCTACAATCAAAGAGCATTCTGAACCCCACCAACGATGGAATTGAACCAAACTTGGCACACAGTTCTCCCATGACCAATAGAAAATACTGGAAGGGTTTGGCGGGTAGTGTCCTTTGGTTTTGGAGTTGTAATTCATCAACATCCAGAGATCCCTGTGGACTCAAACAATGATGGATCTGGACCAAAACTCTACACGAATACTCATTATGCCCAAATATGAACACTGGTAGAGTTTGGGGAAAATAGAACCTTGACATTTGGAAGTTGTTGCTGGGATGTATAGTTCACCTACAATCACAGAGCATTTTGAACCCCACCAATGATAGAATTGGGCCAAACTTGGCACATAGTTCTCCCATGACCAACAGAAAATACTGGAAGGGTTTGGTGGGCAGTGTCCTTTTGTTTTGGAGTTGTAGTTCACCTACATCCAGAGGTCACTGTGGACTCAAACAGTGATGGACCTGGACCAAACTCTACACGAATACTCAATATGCCCAAATGTGAACACTGGTGGAATTTGGGGAAAATAGATTCTTGACATTTGGGAGTTGTAGTTGCTGGGGTTTATAGTTCACCTACAGTCACAGAGCATTCTGAACCCCACCAATGATATAATTGGGCCAAACCTCCCACACAGAACTCCCATGTGGGCCACAGCAACGCGTGGCAGGGGATGGCTAGTACTTTATAAAACATTGGCTTCTAATAATTACAAATTCTGGATTTCAATTTTGTTTCTATAGTTTTTGTCCTTTCCTGTGTAAATCTATTTAGGAGTTAAGATCAGTCTCGCTTTGAGTCATTCTATTCTCTCAAGTTAGGTGCATTTCTGCTGCGGCATCCTGTCTCTAGAATCCTCTCTGTGGAGAACCATATTATTCCAAGAACCAATTAAAATCAATTTTATTTGACCAGGTCCTTTGATATGCAAATGACATTTTGAAGTTTTCCACTCGTATTTTATTTTACTTCATTGTTTTGTATTGTCACTTGCTCTAAATTATAAAGTCCAATAAATAATCTAAGTGCACAAACTTTTGCTGGAGAGTATTTTAAACAAATATATAATACGGATGCCCTCTCGACCATCATTTAATTTCTACTGTGCTCCTGAAGTCTTTATTTTCACTAGCTTTGACATGAGGCTATTCTGTAAAAAGCATTCACTTGTGGTCTTGCACAGGATGCAATCAATAGACTTCAAAAAATAATCCCTCTGTGGCCTATTACTGATGTATCATCCTGTATCATGTCCATTCATCTGAGACAGACCCCTGCTAACATTTGCTTTCCAAATCACCTTGCAGCTCCCAGTCAAGGACTCACCAAGCTTACCGGATCAAACATATGATAGTGACATCACTGGAATGGAAGTGCTGCCCTGGATATAGTGGTGGAACGTGCCAGCCCAAAGGTATGGAAAATGATGGAGAGATTAACCCCTTCTGATGAATTATCTAATCTGGTTCAAACTCCTGCAAGCAGAAAATGGTGTGTGTCTGTGTCAGAATGGGGGAAACCATCTGCGGCAGAGAGACAAAAAAGTCTTTCCAAATGAGAGTTAGGCAGACATCAGGCTTATAAATATACCTTGCTCTAACTAGGGCTCCTAAGGTCCACCAATCAGAGTCATCCAAAAATATACAACTAAGGAAGACAAACAGAGAATGGAAGAACAAGGAAATTCTTAGCACATGCTACCATGTTCTCTTTTCCATGGTAATAGATTGCATACTGTTCTCAGGCAAGAGGCTATCAAAGAGTCTACTGCATCAGATGTGCTTTTACTGAGGAGCCTTTAACAGCCTCACTAAACTACAAACCCCAGAATTCTGCAGGAGGCAGAAACCAGATTTTAAGTGGACTTTTTCTCTAGTGTGATGAAGTGGTAAATATGCAAGCAGTTACTAGGCAGCAACAGTAGTATACCATAAGTGTTTTGACATGGGTAGAAGATTTCTCAGACCACATCTACATGGCCATATAATTCAGTTTTGGAATGCAGATGAACTACATTGAACTGAATTATATGGCAGTGTATACTCATATAATCCAGTTCAATGTGACTTGATTTGTATCACATGAGTCTACACTGACTGTTATAATGCAGTAGAAACTGGATTATATAGCAGTGTGAAAAGGGCCTCAGAGAAAATGGCAATCACACCAGAGATAACATTTATTAGTAGTTCACAGAGGGAGGCATGGTAAGCCTCAGCCCTTCAGATCTCAATTTAAAAAATCAGGGCAAAGAACCTAACCTAAAATGAGTCCAAATTACTATCTCAACCCCTGGTTCAAGCATACATAGTCTAGAAATATCACCCACCACCATTGTCCCTCAAACTAGGATACAACACAGGGAAATGAACGTAGAGGGTTGGTTTTGATTTGATTATCGGCTGAAAACCTGACAGTGCAGCCCACACAGGAGCAGAAAATTGTCTCAAAAACTGTCTCTCCTCCATTCCAAATTCCCTGTTGTCAAGGAGCTGCAGGGAGTAGAGAGTGAAAGCAGCTGACAATGTTAGGTAGTATAGGAGCTAAATATAAGCAGAGAAATAAAATCTTTCTGAAGCAGCTATTGCCCTGGTTGCTGGATATGCTAGTTTCCAAGACAGTGGTTATTGAAGGAGTGAGCTGCAGTTCTATGGTATCTGTGGTCTCTCCTCTTGAACTCCAACTGACCTCTTCTTTGGAGCCCTTGGTGAATTGCAAAGCTTCGGTGAAGCAGTAAAGACAGAGGTCCTTATAACCTATTATAACCTTGACAGATTAGAGAGATGGGCTAAAACTAACAAAATGAAGTTCAACATATAATCCAAATGCAAGATACTCCACTTTGGCAGGAAAAACTAAATGCAGAATGGGGGACAATGCCTGGCTCGAGAGCAGTACGTGGGAAAAAGATCTTGGAGTCCTCGTGGACAACAAGTTAAACATGAGCCAACAATGTGATGTGGCGGCAAAAAAAGCCAATGGGATTTTGGCCTGCATCAATAGGAGCATAGTGTCTAGATCTAGGGAAGTCATGCTACCCTCTATTCTGCTTTGGTTAGACCACACCTGGAATATTGTGTCCAATTCTGGGCACCACAATTCAAGAGAGATATTGACAAGCTGGAATGTGTCCAGAGAAGGGCGACTAAAATGAGAACAAGCCCTATGAGGAGCGGCTTAAGGAGCTGGGCATGTTTAGCCTGAAGAAGAGAAGGCTGAGAGGAGATATGATAGCCATGTATAAATATGTGAGAGGAAGCCACAGGGAGGAGGGAGCAAGCTTGTTTTCTGCTTCCCTGGAAGACTAGGATGCGGAACAATGGCTTCAAACTACAAGAAAGGAGATTCCATCTGAACATGAGGAAGAACTTCCTGACTGTGAGAGCCGTTCAGCAGTGGAACTCTCTGCCCCGGAGTGTGGTGGAGGCTCCTTCTTTGGAAGCTTTTAAACAGAGGCTGGATGGCCATCTGTCAGGAGTGATGTGAATGCAATATTCCTGCTTCTTGGCAGAGGGTTGGACTGGATGGCCCATGAGGTCTCTTCCAACTCTTTGATTCTATGATTCTATGCTCTACCTATGTTTTGGGGGCTGAAGTTGAAGTTATTGCAGTATTTCATAAGATTTTCAACAATTTAGTACGAGATAATGGCAACCAGTGCATCTATGTCAGTGAGATGACATAGGGTTTTGGTATGAACTTTGAATAACTCACTGAATAGCTCAAACTAAAACTGAAGTGGATTTGCTACCTCACAGATGTGGACATTATGTATTATAATCCAAATTAATCCTCTGCTATCGCACTTTCCCGCTATTTATAAAATGCTTCAGTGTCTCCCTCCTCCTCCTCCATTGCCCTCGGGTTAATTCAATTGCTGCAAATTGAGTTCAGAAGCAGTTTACACTCAATTAACTTAATCAAATGAGAAGGGAGGGCAGAACCTTGCCTTTCCCAGTAAGCTCAGGAAAAAGCAAACCACCGCAGCCTCCCCTAGCTTGTGTTTTCTTCCTCATCAGTAACTTCTGTCATCATGACCATGCACTGTTGCTGCTTGGCCACATAAGCTTCAGTTTTCATATTTGGTATAATGGTGATGAGTAAAGAGATCCAAAGGAGTAATTTATAATTATTGGTTGAAGAACCCATGGGGACTTTACTGGGAACTGGATTGATACAAACTACAAACTATCTGCTGACCCACTAAGAAAACCCATCAAATGCTATGCTCAGCAAAGAACAAGAGGGATCCTCTCACTTCTGCAGGAGTCTACCGTATACCAACCAGCTGTGGACAAGTCTACATAGGGACCACCAAACGCAGCAGATTTGCTCAAACACGAATCAAGGAACATGAAAGGCACTGCAGACTACTTCAACCAGAGAAGTCAGCCATTGCAGAGCACCTGATGAACCAACCTGGACACAGCATATTATTTGAGAACACAGAAATGTTGGACCACCCTAACAGCTACCATGTCAGGCTACACAGAGAAGCCATTGAAATCTACAAGCAGGTGGACAATTTCAACAAAAAGGAAGAAACAATGAAAATGAACAATATCGGGCTAGGCTACCAGTATTAAAAAAACACCAAAATCATAACTGTAAATAAAAAAACAACACTAAAAATCAGGGGAACTCCAGACAAGAAACAATCTGGAACAGCTAATCACTTCTCAGCAAAGGATTCCCCCAGGCAGTAAGAAGCCAGACCTTGAAACTGCTAGGCCATTAAATGCTAATCAAGGTGGCCAATTGCAACATCCACACTATCTACAACAGGCAAGAGTTCTTTCTCCCACTCTGGACTTTCCACAGATATATAAACCCATTTTCCTAGTTTCCAACAGACCTCACAACCTCTGAGGATGCCTGCCATAGATGCAGGTGAAACATCAGGAGAGAATGCTTCTGGAACATGGCCATACAGCCCAAAATCCGATATTGTTTCAGAATGAAAATTTTCATCATATAATAAATATGGGTTTGTTTCAAAAAAAGAGATAACAGAGAGCAGAGAACTAAGCCTGAAGCATTTCCCCATTTGTCTTCCAGTCTACAGCTCTAAGCAGCTTACATTTGTGACACTTTTGTACAAATCATGAAGCCTTTGGCTTGAATTCTGACTCTTCCTGAAAAATACCCTCCGATAATTCAGCCACAGCAAGAGAATAAATCTGGTGGGGTCCTCAACTTCAGCATAGTCAGCATAGTGGTTAATTCAACCCTGACAGAGAAAACTGTCCGGTTCAAGGCATCATTTCATAAAGTAATTACTGTGAGATATTAAATCATGGCCTCCTGAATGCCTCTTGTTTAAAAATTAATTCACCTATAGCAGCTTGACCTGGCTGACTTCCTGAAGTACGCTGTCTCTGAATATATTCCAGCCAGAGGGCATCCATTTAGACACTCAATCCTATTCCCATTGAAGTCAAAGGAAATTTATATCCTGGGCTTCATTTGGATTAAGATTGAGGCAGATGGCAAAATGCCACCCAGCGATTGTACCGACTTTGTGTAAAACATCGCTTCTTTGAGACAAGGAGTCCTGTCTTTTGACGATTGCCCGAGTGATCAAACGCATGGCAAAGGCATTGTAGTTTAACAGGCTGTATGACTGCTATCACTTGTTCTTGGCCTCACACAAGCTCCCCTTGAAAAATAAGATATGGCACCCGCATACATATTTTAAATGGATGAATATTACAAGAAATGCCATTAGCTGCGGTAGGGAACTCAATCACCAGCGGTAGGGAAGAGGCTGTGATTAAAAATTCATGTGAAGAAATGTTGAGAAGTCGCTGCTGTTCGCATCCAAGTGCGTAAAGTCTTAATACTGGCAGGGCTGGAATCCCCATGGATACAAGAGTCTTTCTTATAGCACTACTGACAGGAAGGAGATTTTTTTTGGATGAACCAGAATTCGCTCTGTTCATTCACTGAGTTTTTACATCTACATCCCCGACCACTAGAGATCTGAAAAGTCTTTAATGTTGATTATTGTTGCTCTTTTACTGCAAAAGTAAAATTGGTGAGTGTTCCTTTTCAAGTCCTAAAGCAGACGTGATAGCATAACACTTCCCACTTCAATTTCTATTTATTTGGACCATGGAGGGAGGTTCTGAGTTTTGAGGGGCCATGAAGGCCAAAAAAACAAAACTGTAACCTCAACTCAAGGCAATAATGTAATGGGATTTTTTTTGTCTTTTATGACATTATATATATTGTACTGTAGTTTTTCCCAATTATAAGATGCTATTGATGGTAAAATTTATTTATTTACTATATTTATATCCTGCCTTTCTCCACTCCGGAGAGGAATCAAGGCGCCGTACAGATGGGCAATAATTCAATGCTTTAACAAAAATATAAAATTAGAAATATTTACATTATTTTTTTAAAAAAATA